TCTTTGGCCGCTTGGTGGCAGCATTGATCAAATTAAATTAAAACTGGGTCAGTCTTGTTTCTATAAATCACTGCTTTGCTTCTTTGGAGGTCATAATAACATAATAACGTATGAGTATGTTTTTTAGAAAGTAACACAAGGTAACATTATATCAGTGTTGAGAACATTTTCCACACTCAACTCTATGTATGTGTATCCAACCCCCTTTACTCTCACACCTTTAAAGAAAGTTCATTGCAGCCAATGGACATTATATTATATTTAACTATTAACCAGAGTCAATGTGTATGTACTTTAATGTCAGTATAAGCCTTGCTAAACTGTTCTGACTCTGATTGGATGTTTCCAGACGCTATCAGTCCAATCTGACATAACTTGAGCTATTTTGCGAAGCAGAATGAAAGACAAAACTTCAACTTCTACTTATGCAAAGCTGATGGAGATAAAATTATTAACTCAGTGGGGCTTAATAAAATCTATGCAATACATTTGAGATTTATTATGAGAAAAAGAAATGGATTCAGCTTTATGCCTTTTCTTATTTTGGTTAGAATTTTATACTTTTAGAAATACTAAAAAAACAAAAAACAAAAAAGAAATACTTGTGCTTTGCAGTTTGTATTTTACAAAACTGTTTGTACTAAAACTACTAGCATTGGCATTAGTTACGATAGAATCACTGCTGGTGAGCATTTTTAATGCTAAATTTAGTCTTCTGACTTGGAAGATCTGAAACATTTTACTAACTGTATGCCCTAATGTGTTACAGAGGAGGACTTGTTCTCCTGGCAGTAGAATGATTATGATTTAATTTAAATAGATCTTTCTTTTTTTTTCTCTGCTAATTACATTTTCTCAATTTTTAAGTTGGAACTTTAAATGTTTAATGTTAGATTTCTGATTTTTATTTTTAGGGTTTCTTACAATTAGTTTGTCAATAAGTCTGCTGGGTTCCAATAGGTCTTTCAATGGTTACCATCACAGCTCTTAACTTTTGCATATTAGATTTGCTGAAAGCTTTGCCGAACGTCACTTGGATATCCTGATGATAACTGAGTCTGGCCTGGAAGTAACACATATATAATCCATGGGATTAGCTTTAATTATTTGGGATTCCTTAAGTTGTAAAAAAGTAGTTCTTCGTGCGCATAGTGCCAACTCTTTAAAGCTTAGAGGGTCTGTGCAAGCTGTACAGCTGCTGCTCTTTGCCATCTGATTCTGCATAGTGCAAGTCTCTGAGATTTATTGTCATAAACCCTCCGTCGCCCTCCCCATTTCAAAAGGACAACTATTTCTTGTGAAGGACACAGGCTGAAAATAGACCTGTCTGTGTAAGTAATGTCATTCCTAAATCTGAGATACTAATAAGCCTGGAGCATAGGAAATACGACCAATCAAAAATTTTCATTACTGTAAATTAAACGTTACAGTGAACTTAAAATTGTCATTGAAATATAAAAACACAAAATATTAAAACATTAAAACATTAACAGTTAGCCTCAGGGGGTTAGCTAAGATGAAATGAAAGAGGAAAATCTAAACATACCAACTACATATATATACATATATAGTTTTTATATATATATATATATATATATATATATATATATATATATATATATATATATATATATATATATATATATATATATATATATATATATATATATATATATATATATATATATATATATATATATATTTTATTTATTTTTTTAGTTATATAAGGTCAAACCTGAGAGAAAAGAAGGAAAAGAGGAATAATAAGTTCAGGTAATTATGATGAGACAAAGTAATTTTAACATAGTAAACTGGTTTTCCAATAAACACTCAAGGCCAGATACAATCAGTGGAGTGAGACCTTAACAGGGATGATGTTTTATTTTTTTTTTTAGTACAAGCTTAAACATGTGAAGCAACGTTTTGGGTCAGCCGCAGATGAGAGAGCAGGGAAGGATTTTCTGCATTAGGTGAGAGATTCCCTAAATCCACCCCACACTAACCTACTGGTCTAATAAGCACACTGTTATGGATTAAGGTAGGAGTGAAGGTCACCTCTAGTGAAATGGAGAACCTGTCTCTCAGATCACTTTGTCAAAACAGAAGTGAGTGTAACTGCTGTGCAATCAGACATTAAAACCTGAGTCTATCTATTTAGGACTACCATTATAATTCCTAAGATCCAAGCAGCTGCGATTACATCTGAACCAGAGAGATGTTAGCGTCATGGGCAATGTCAGCCAGGAACACATTACTAAATACTCCAACAGGTCCTGTGCCTAACCTACTGTTGTTCTACAGTTATTTGGTAAACCTGGCAAAGAGGGGGTTTTATTTCCCTGCCAATATCTTTTCAGAATATGTTATGTTGGTAGTTCTGTCTTTGGCTTAACTGTAGTTTGTCAGATGATCCTTACATTTTCGAGCTGCGTTTTTCTTTTTTTTTTTACTTAATCTGATTTGATTTTTTCATATCTGCACTCTCCAATGGTATCACTTGGTCAAGAAAATCACATTTTGTTTCATTGTGTATATTTACTGTATAAATCATAAATTAATGTTTAGGAATGAGCTCCCTACTGTAATATCTCACTGAAAGGTTATAGACTGCATTTTGCTATTTTTAGGTTTCTTCTGTTATCTTCCATTTATAGATGGACTCTCTTTTTCATTGTCACTCTGTCTCCCTGTCTCTCTGTCACTCCCACCTCTCTCCACCATTATAGGATAATGAAAGTTGGGCCAGAACCTTTTTTTAGTGCCATATGAGCCAACATCACAGGGCGAGCAACATATTCCTGCCAGAGCTTGTCCTCTTCAGAAGGTAACTGTGCGGTCGAGTCCAGAACTGACCTGCAATCATGGATGATGTATATAAAGCAGCGGTAAGTATCAATCATTTATAATTTACTGGTTGATCGATTATTTGATTGTTTATTTTCAGATAATGATGATAATTATAAAGACTAATGAATAATCACTTCTATTGATTAAGAGGTTTGTTGAAAATTATAATAAGCGGTTCCTATTTAAACTAAATTGATGACTTTCACTAGATGGACATTTGGAGAGAAATTATTGTAATTATCTACTCACCAAATCTTGTTATAATTACCTGCATTAAAGTCAAACTTCACAAAAAGTAAAATTGACAAACAAGATATTTTATGTTTAACTCTTACACAACCAGCCACATTGTGAGAGCACAAAATCAACATCTTAATAGATATATACTTATAAAATAATTGTTTAAAAAGCAGATAAAGGGGAGGGGGGGTGTTCTGCTATAATGTGGTCAGTTTTCTGTGACTGACATCAGAACAATGAACAGCTGGTGAGGAGCAGCTCTCCGCTTAAGCTCCACAAACCTCACAAGAATAGCAGCAAGCAAAGCAACATGTGTCGCATTACAGTCCATCTAAACTAAGACCATTATCTCCAAGAGAACCGAGGCTCCATTTCAGCACAGTGGTATCAAGAAGTGGATTAACCGAAATACAGCGGGGGGGAAAAATAAACGCTGTTTCCTCTACAGGTAGAGAACTTGACAGAAGAGCAGAAAAATGGTGAGAACATGACACCTGAACATGACTAATAATACTGATAACATGATAATGTTTGACTACATTACTTGATGTGTATCTGATACTAATAAGGACAAATATAACTTTATTGTCATGACTTGTTGATTTGCATCAGAATGCAGACTCTTGAAAAAAGCATGCTGAGTTAATGATATTTAATAAATGATAAATAAAGAAGCAGAACTCAGGCAGGAACGGGGGTGGGGGGTGGGGGGTATCACAGGCTCCAGGGAATAGTAACTGCAGCATGAGTACTTATATACAGTAGAGCAGGGTACTAGGACAGACAACATGAAAACAAAGGTGAAGAAATGTCTCATTAACTGAAGGTTGTGTCTGAGGGGGAAATGTTCAAACATGGATAAACATAAAGGAGAAACAGAGTGAACGTAACCAATAATACAGAAATAATAACTAGCAAAAGTAAAGACAAATCCAAGTAAACACTAAGAGCAATAAACTAGAAAAATCCTGCACCACATGTAGCATAAAACAAGCAGGTTTCCTCCAGCACATATTACATTTTGGAAAATATGGAAATTAAAGTACTTTGGTCCCATATTCTGATTATTCTGATCATTTTTAATGAAATACACAAATTAGTACTAAAACGTACTATACTATAATTTAATAATTACATACATAATTATATATATGATTACATTACATATATATATATTCTTTTTTTTTTGGAGAAAGACCATTTGTCATGTCTACAAACCAGTTTGCTTTAAAACTTACTCGTGAGTTTTAAAAATGTTCAGTTGATTTAATATCGTAACATTGCTACAGTATACCATGTTGTAACTAAGTCCCATATTAAGGGTGATTGCAATATAGAATCACCTGATCTCATGAAGACCCAAAAATTGATAGCATGAAAAGTTCTTTTTAAAGAGCTTTAAAAAGAACTTGTCATGCTATCAGATGGATTTGAAACATTGGAAAATTTGGTCTGAATTAATGATTAGGTGATTTGGCTGTGGGGATGTGTAGTTTACGTATTTGCCATATCACCATTTTTTAATTAATTTTCTCTCCAGTCCACATTTCTTGTATTAATATATCCAAATTTTACTAGAAAGTTCTCTTCAAACATGTGATCTTGTGTTTCTTCCAGAATTCAAGGCTGCCTTTGACATCTTCATTCAGGATGCTGAGGATGGCTGCATCAGCACAAAGGAGTTGGGGAAGGTGATGAGAATGCTGGGACAGAATCCCACTCCTGAGGAGTTACAGGAGATGATAGATGAAGTGGATGAGGATGGTATGTAACCATTTCAATGAATACACCTTTTTCTGCCTGATTTAAAGATAGAGCTGCTTAGTTTTGCTACTACGATATAATCAGTTGTACAAAAACGTTACATTCACAGGCAGTGGCACAGTAGATTTCGATGAATTCTTGGTTATGATGGTCCGATGCATGAAGGAGGAGAGCAAAGGGAAATCAGAAGAGGAGCTGGCCGAACTATTCCGCATGTTTGATAAGTAGGTTTTGCTTAAAACGTATTTTTTTCACAATAAGAGGAAGAAATACAAAGAAACTTTGATTTGACTTAGTTATACAGATAAGGAGATTAACTAATTTAATAATTTCCCTTTCTTTTAAGTTAAAGTTAAAAACCCGTTTGTTTAGAACTGCTTTAACTGTTAAATTAAAGTGTTAACTTAGGTATCATTTGTGGTTCAACTGTATTTTTATCTTTACTTGCTTTTTATTGTGCTTTTATTTTCCTTTTATTTTTTAGTTTCATTCATGTAAATCACTTTAAATTGTTCTTGTACTGAATTGTGCTATAAAGATAAACTTGCCTTGCCTTTTGTTAAGGAATGGAGATGGTTATATTGACTTAGAGGAACTGAAGAGCATGCTGGAGTCCACCGGAGAACCGATAACTGAAGATGATATTGAGGAGCTGATGAAAGATGGAGACAAAAACAATGATGGAAAGATTGATTATGATGGTAAACCACTTTTTTTTTTTTTTACAATTTCCATTCCTTATACAAAAAGAAATGATAAAGTAATATTCTGAATCTCTTCTCTAGGATGGCTTAATCCATGATGTACCGTAATTACCTTCCAGGTCTTCTTTAGCTTGTTAGTGTATGCACAATGTAGTCTTACAGATGATAAATAGGGAAAAAGAAATAGCCCAATATTGGCGCTGTCTCTTAGGATTACTGTCTCCGTTTAATGAACTGAGGTGACTTTGAACGCAAAAATGTATCTTTGGAATTAAAGACCATCTCGTAATTCACAGTATAACATTTGTTTAATGTAGTATTAACAAGGAGTAGGTAAAATCCATGAATAAATGAGAGCTTTATAAACTGACAAGGTTATCCATCCATCCATCCATCCATCCATCCATCCATCCATCCATCCATCCATCCATCCATCCACCCATCCATCCATCCATCCATCCATCCATCCATCCATCCATCCATCCATCCATCCATCCATCCATCCATCCATCCATCCATCCATCCATCCATCCATCCATCTTTCTCCAGCAGTCTATGGGTGAAGGCGAACGCTGATATGTTTATGTCTTTAAACACTGGATTTATTTATGGATTCTGTCTCTTTTGTCTCTAACAGAGTTCCTGGAGTTCATGAAAGGTGTTGAGTAAAGGAGAGCTCCAGAGGGTTCTTTCCTTCACAACCTCTCATTTTGAAATGTCATCAAAGTTCATTCCTGAAGACAAGTTCCCACCTTTTCTTTACATCAATGTTAATTTCTGATTGCAGTATTAAATCAAAGTTTAACATGAAAAAAAAATATTTTCAATAAAACATATGATCGTTCAATTTGTCTGTCATATTGATATAGAGTTAAACACCAATATATGGTGTTTAATGCTATAATGCTAGTTTTTGAGGCTTTGTGTACTGAAGGTTATTTCCATTGATCCCAAGATTTTGAAGACAGTTTCAAATATTTTATTTATATACTCACTAAGGATCTGGCCATCCAATTACCTATTTATTTAAACAAGTGTTTAAGGACTGGAAAATGGGGAAAAAACTTTAATATATGAAACAACCTCAAAGTAGGAATTACCTTCAGGATTGTTTCACAAATACAATAAATATGCTTTGGGTGTAAGGTTTTTCAAATGGACAGACATGTTGACAGATTTAGATTTCCAAATATAGAGCGTAGAATAAAGAAGATCAGGTTCATAGTCATATAAATAGAACAGAAAAAGTATTACAACTTTTTGCAGAGAATAAACACAGTGGTAGATATTAAAATATACATACCAACAATATGAAACGACATCAAACGATGTTCCTAAATGCTGTCATCTTTGTTTTATTTGCAAGAAGAAAGTGTCAGCGGGGGACCCCTTCTTGTTAATCAAGCTAACAACAAGGATTAATATTTATTTGAAAATAGTTGCATAATATTTAATCTGAAATCATCCCATCTACCTATTATAACATCTGACTGATTTAAAAGAACGCAGATGTATCTTCTTTTTCTTGCATTTATTATCTCCAACGACCTGTATGCAGTTTGCATTGCTTTGCATTGCAAAAGCCTCACATCCAGGAAACTGCTGTAACAGTCCTGCAGCAGAAAGAACAGTGTTCCAGAAAATCTGAAACTGAAAGGTTCAAGCTGAAAGGTTCAGCTGGAATGAAAAAACAAAACAAAAAAAACCTTCATGGTGTTTAGGGAATCTGGCCAGCTACTGGAAAGGGTGGCGTTCCATGCTAGCAAGAAGCCTGTTTAACAGTATCAAACAGCTGAGATAACAGTATCTGCTTGCACAGTAGGATGGAAACTGCAAAGTCAGGAAAAATATTTTGCATAACCTGAGAATGTACAACAGAGATGGGAAGTAACGAAGTACAAATACTTCGTTACTGTACTCAAGTAGATTTTTCTGATATTTTTACTTTACTTTACTACTTATTTTTATGGTGACTTTTTACTTCTACTCCTTACATTTTTACACAAATACCTGTACTTTCTACTCCTTACATTTTAAAAAATTGGCTCGTTACTTTAGTTTTGAATCATTTCAATGGAGTTACCGTTATTATTTTTCACGTCATCAATACCAAATTCAATCTAATTGGATGGGAATCTACGTTGCATTTGACGCACCACTACAAGATGAATCGACAGATTCGGCGGTATTCATTCACGGCAAATCATTGCAGCTCGGTGGCGTTAGCATAGTAGTATGGACGACGAGATGATTGAAAATGAACACAACAGAGATCTAGTCCTATTGGCACATATTCATTTAAAATGTAGGCAACGGCATGAAAAAGGTGGTTTCTACTTTTACTTTTATACTTTAAGTAAATTTACAAGCCTGTACTTTGTTACTTTTACTTGAGTAAAGAAGTTTAATCAGTACTTCCACTTTTACCAGAGTATTTTTTAACACAAGTATCTGTACTTTTACTGAAGTACGGAAAGTGAGTACTTTTGCCATCTCTGATGTACAAGAAGTACAAAGATGAACATAGGGCACTCTGAATGTTTGGGACATCTATAAAATCCTTTTCTCAGAAAAATAAAAGACGGGAACCAACACACCACTGGTGTTTTTTGCCAATTTACCCATGATCATAAACAAACTGTGATAGCTTAATTAAGGGGTAGAGCTTATTCAATTTCCTGTCAAAATTGTATTACTTACATAGCCTACTACTACTTAGATATGTACAATTTACATTGAAGTGTAATTAGAATCACTTTTACAGCCTCATTCACCCTTATTAGCATGTACTATAAAAAATGTGTAATAACAAAAAATAAAATCTCCAAACACAATCATTGGCACCTCTGCTGTTAATACTTTACTGCAACCCCTTTTACCAAAATAACTTCTTTTAATATTTATAACATTTCATAAGGTTGATATATACAGCAAAATCTTCAAAGATCACAGATCTTTGATTATTTCTCTTTGTGGTATTTATAAATCATAGATCCTCTTTAACAGTCTCATTTGTTTAAATCTGCTCAAATACTTTCATCAGGATTTCAATTAAGAGACTGAGATAAATACAGAAAAGGCTTGATTTTGTGCCTTTAATACTAATTGATATCATATTACCAGAAATTTAGAAAGATCCTTATATAAATAATGAAATACCAATTGAAAACCCATATTCATGTGTGTATATATGTATATATATGTTGTATATGTATGTTGTATATATATATATATGTAAATGCAACAAATATGATCATGTCCACATATACATATATATATAGAACATATGTATATACATATATGTATATATATATATATATATATATATATATATATATATATATATATATATATATATATATATATATATATATATATATATATATATATATATATATATATATATATATATATATATATATATATATATATATATACATACATATATATATACATGTATATATATATATATGTATATATATAAATATATATATATACACATATATATGTATGTATATATATGTATACATATATGTGTATATATATATATATATATATATATATATATATATATATATATATATATATATATATATATATATATACAACATATATATATATGTTGTATAAATATACAACATATATATACATGTGTATGTATGTATATAAGTATCACTTATCTGTGACTTATCAATCAATCTATCTATCTATGTATATTTATATATACATATATATTCATATATATATATATATATATATATATATATATATATATATATATATATACACTAATTTATATATATTTTGTAGATAGATAGATAGATAGATAGATAGATAGATAGATAGATAGATAGATAGATAGATAGATAGATAGATAGATAGATAGATAGATAGATAGATAGATAAGTCACATTTATATATATATATTTTTTGTATTTTTTATTATAGGTATATTATAGGTATATGCCATGTTTTTAACTATCCAGTAAAAAGAGTCTCTGAGACCCGGAAGTGAACTGTGGAGCAAACTGGAAGTTCTTTCATTTTACCTCAACCGAAAATTCTTTCCCCTGTGATATCGATAGGTGGACCAAAACAACTACACAGCCTTTTTGTCCTGTACCGAGTGATGCTGTTTGCCCATCAGTCGGCTTTAAAGCTATGATTAGAGGGATTTCATTAAACTGATGCGCAGCTGTTAAACAGCTCTGAGTGTTTTTTTTTTTTTATGTTAGCAGAAGCTAAGCTGCTAACAGCTCAGGAGCAGCTAGCTTGATGTTGTTTATCCACCGGACTCCTGCTGCCTAACGATCATCTGGATCATCCAAAAACACTTCAGGTAAAGTAAAACTGTCCTCTGCGGTATATATACCGTTAGACAGTTGGTTTTATTATCTAAAGTTATTTTATTTGACGCTGTCAGTTAAAAGAAAGGAACTGTTGTCGTTAGCAGTCAGAACAAACAGCCACAGCCCTACATGTTTCTTTAGCTTACAGGTTCAATGTAGCTAACTACCTTCATTTCCCCCCATCTCTTCTGTTACATACTATAGCTACTATGTACACAGATGTCCATTACCATCCAAAATTACTTTTATTCGACTAAAAACATTGTATATATACGAGATGACAGTTGAAGCATTTCTTGTCACCATAATTGGCATCTTTACTTCCCACTGAAATAGTTTTATAATTACGTTGTCTCTCGGAAATGTGTAAAAAATGCGCTTAATATATGTTACTTAATTTAAAACTTTGAGGTTTCCTGATATTCTTCTTATTCCTTGCATAAAATGCATATTAGGGGGTAACTAGGTGTAGTAACCTGGTTGCATAAGTTCTATCTTAAATCGTGATTGATTTTCTGATCCATTCTTCTGGAGGGATCAGCCTCCTATGTCTGTATTTTATTATGAAATCTATTGATAGCCTGCTTTGTCTTGCAAACGTCACAGTATATCAGAATGCCACAGCCCCCCTCAGGTTATCATACAGATTTTGAATTTATTGAATTATCTTTCAGATTTGCTGTAGTTATGGACTAATGTCAGGGTATTTGCAAGATGCCTTTCATTCAGGATGTGTGGAGTCTACATATATGACATATGTTCTCCTGAACCTGACATTGACATTACACCAGCAGCAGGATTGCTCTGCATACTTATTAATGCAACCAGCATGATAGATTTTGCTTGATATAGTGACAAAGGACGTTACCTGAGGTATAACTCTTCACTATTACTTTATTCTTAAAAATCTTTCTAAGGTCCACATTTGTGTGACAATTTTTTTTCTATAATCTTTATGCTGCTCTAAACACCAGAATTTCCCCTTTGTGGGAAAAAAAGGGATTTTCTATTCTATTCTAAAACATAAGGCAAAGAAAATAGGTAATTAAGTCAGTGCAGTTATTTTAGAGCAGCAGTGGAAAATGTGACGCTGATGCCAATGCTTTCTACTAGTGAATAGTAGAAGTATAATAAGGTTCTATATAAATATCTGCAGCCCAAGAAACAGCATTACCTTGGATGCAATGTATTGCCACATGGGCTTACAGGGTTTCTGCAGGTAAATAAAAATCATTAAAAGTCATTAAATTATTATTTTTTAAATTAAGGCCTTAATTGGCATTAAAATTCAATAAATTTGATAATCGTGGCATTAAAATGCTTCGGAAAAGAAGCTTGAGGTGGAGAAAAGGCTGGAGAATGGGGAAAAAAATGCAAATTTGAACCAAAGTGGCGGGAAAACAAGGAACTCTGGACATGGTTGAAGCCTGTCCACGGTGAAAATGGTGAAGGATTTTGCCATACATATATATATATATATATAAAATCATGGGTAATT